GAACGATCTCCGACATCGGAAAGCGGCCACTGTACAAGGTTGAGCGAGCGACCACCGCCGCGGACAACCGCCTGGGCCACCTCAGGCCAGACGGATGAGGCCGTGGCCTCTGGATCGTTCAAGGTTGGCCGACCCACGAGGTGTCAGAGTCCAGCGCCCAAGCCGTCGCGGCGTGACCATGCCGTGGATCGAGACCCAAACTTTCGGAGGTCCGCGCGGATTTCTTGGATTGGCGCTGGATTCCCGCGCCGCGGCGCCGTTGGCGCCACCCCGTGCGCGCTCCAGGCACCAGATGGGGCGCCGGGGTGTCATCTTGATTGTAGAGCGCGTGCGCGCTGCTGCCATCTGCGGCTCGGGATGATTGAAGAGCGCCGCTGGCAGAACCAGTCTCAGCTCGAACTGTTCTTGCACCCAGAGGTTGCCACGTCAAAGCGAGGGGGCGTACAGCGCCGATCCCAGAGATCCGCACGCACCTCCTGAGGTTCGTTCAGTGGACGAAGAACGGCATGTAATCACATTATCTGCCGTTTGGGACGCCTCCCCCCAGGGCGGCTGGAAAATTGATCCCCCTACGGAGGCAGGTCGGGTTGTAGAATTTACGTCCGGCCTGGGGCAGGCGTTCCCGACGGCGGACGAGTTTCGCCATACCATCCTTCGTCCGCAAATTCGTGCTTGTGCTGTTTGCTGCTCCTCTTAGTGTGAGGCGTCGCTGCTGCGCGACACGGCGAAAAAGAATCCTCTCGCCCGATGCGCCCACTCCTGCAGGAGTCTGGGGGGCGGGCGGGGGAGCGCGCAAGCATCCAAGGCAGAGCGCCCGCGCGCTGGATCTCCCTCCTCCCGCCGCTCGCCTCTCTCCTCCCGCCTCCTCTTCCTCCTCCTCCTCCTCCTCCTCCTCCTCCTCCTCCTCCTCTTCCTCTTCCTCCTCCTGCTCCTCCTCCTTCTTCTCCTCCCTCCTCGACCTCGTCCTCATCCCCCCCTAGCCGGTGCGGGCCCGGCGCAAGGGCAGCGATCCGACGTCGATTCGATTCGGAACGATTCGCTGGCGATCTGATCTGTTTTTGATCCGATCCGATTCCGCGATTAGATCCAATTCAGGCCTGGCAAGCGCGGATAGCACCTGGACGAAACGATTGCGCAGTCGGCCCACGACACACGGTTTGACGCAATACAGGCACCGCCGCTGTAACGCTGTGGAATGAGCTTCCACGGAGTGCACCCAGGCCGCCAGTGGAGGAGGGTCTAATCGCGGGCCGTCAGTCAAGGGCATAAAAAACGCCCCTACCCTGGTTTACGAGGCGCTGTGCGCTGAAACTCCTGTGGGCTGACAGGGTAAACCCTGCGTATAATGTGCCGCGCCCTGGCGGCTCTAGGCGTTGGGGGTTCCCAGGAGGTTTCCAGACCACGCACGTGTAACCCAGGGTAGGATCGTTTTTCATCTCGAGATGCAAGCTTTCTTTGAGAAGAAGAAGCTCCCCTCGCAAGACCAGCACCCTTTTGGCCTACCATTCAGGCGAGCGCCCCGTTTTGAAAAGGAGTTGCCTCGCATCCTTCTCGCGAGCGGCAGGACTGCGAATGCTAAAGTGTACGATCATGCAGTTCCACGAGGTAGGACTGCGAATGCTAAAGGGTAGGGCCGTTTTTTCATCCCTCAAGTCAGAGATGCAGGAAGGAAAAAAACACACAGACACAATTAATCCTCGATTCCCAGGAAAATATGGGAAAATATGGGAATTGGGGGGGGAGACAAAAACCCAGAAAATATGGGAAAATATGGGTTCTATTTTTATTTGTGTGTATTTATTTGTGTGTCCTAATTTCCCTTTAATGTAGGAAGGAAAATGGCACAAACAATTTCTGGGAGCTCCGCGCGGAGTTCTCGGATCGGCGCAGGGGCCTTCTCCCTGGCGACCGGAGCGCGCTGGGCCCCCCCCCCCCTTGCGGTGCCCGCGGTGCCGCCCCCCCGGCGGTGCCGGGGGGGCCCCGCGCCGATCCAAGAAGTCAGCGCGGAGCTCTCCGAAAGTTTTGGCTTACGCCGTTTTTTCCCGGAGAGGGCGGGGGCCCAGGGTTCTCTTTTAGTCGTTTACCCCCAGGATCGACGGCTGTGGGGCCGGCGGAAGTATTTTGCGATAGATGACGAGGTCGCCTAGGGCCGGCGGAATTGAATTTTGAGGGCGTCTCGAACGAAACGCTGGCTTTTCAGAATTTGCTGAGGATGTCTCGAGCGAAACGCTTGTTTTGTGTTATAGACTGTCCCCTCCTGGGGGCCAGAGTTCAGAGAATCTCTCAAATGAAATGCTTGTTTTTATGCGCCCAGGTCTTTAGGATGTCTTGAGCGAGACGCTTGTTTCACGCGTCCAGGTCGCCCAGGCGGATGTCTAGCATGCGGATGTGTTGAGGAAATCTTGATCGAGACGCTTGTTTGCACTTGTCCAGGTTGCCCAGACGGATGTCTAGCATGAGGAGGTGTTGAGGCTGTCTCGAGAGAATCGCTTGTTTTCACCTGTCCAGGTCGCCCAGGCGGATGTCTAATATGAAAATGTGTTGAGGACGTCTCGAGCGAGACGTTTGCTTTCACGTGTCCAGGTCGCCCAGGCGGATGCATGAGGAGGTGTTGAAAACGTCTCGAGCGAAATGCTTGTTCTCACATGCCCAGGTGACCCAGGCGGACGTCTAACATGAAGAGGTTTTGAGGATGTCTCGAGCGAACCACTCAGTTTCACTTCTAGCATGAGGATGTGCTCAGGATGTGTTGAGCGAACCGTTTGTTTTCACGTGTCCAGGTCGCCCAGGCGGATGTCTAGCATGAGGGTCTGGACAGGATGTCTCAAGCCAAACGATTGTCCCCAGCACGTTGCGTAGCGCGTCCCCTTCGCACGTCCCGCGGAGCGTGCCCATGGCACGTCCCCTGCACGCCGTCTGGCGCGTCCCTTGGGGCGTTCCGCGGCGCATCCTTCTAGCATGTCCCCCTGTCAATGAGCTCTGGGGCAGCTACTATGTGTTCAGGCAGCTCGAGCTTAAGATCCAGATCAGTTCGGTCAGGACTCGGATGCAAAGGGGGACTCGCTCCACAACACTACAGAGCACAATCGCGGCATGGCACATCGCAGTTCAGCACGTCGGTACGGTACATCAAGATCGATACACTCAGCATTGCAACTTGGCGCGTTCCTTGGCACGTTCCCTGGCGCGTCCCGTGGCGAGTCCCCCTGGCACGTCGCGCGGCGCGTCCCCTGGCACGTCCCGTGGCACGTCCATTGGCACGTTCCGTAGCGCGTCCCCTTGGCACGTCCCGCGGTGCGTCCCCGTGGCACGTCCCCTGGCACGTCGCCTGGCGCGTCCCTTGGGACGTTCCGCGGCGCGTCCTCCCGGCATGTCCCCCTGTCAATGAGCTCTGGGGCAGCTACTATGCGCTTAGGCAGCTCGAGTTTCAGATCCAGATCAGTTCGGTCAGGACTCGGATGCAAAGGAGGACTCTCCACAACGCTATAGAGTGCAATCGCGGCATGGCGGCATGGCACATCGCAATTCAGCACGGCGCAGCACAGCACAGCCCTCGGCACGGTACATCAAGATTGATATACTCAGCAATGCATTTGCCCGTCTGGCTGTATGGTTTCTGACTGACTGCATTTGCCCGTCACCCAATCAAGTGTCTTTGAACCTTACATTTCTGTATTCCTTTCCGGGTTCGTGGGTCGATCATTTCCTTTTCAAGGGAGAGAGAGAGAGAGAGAGAGAGCGAAGGATGGAGAGAAAAAGAGAGGGAGAGAGCCTCCGTCTCAAGCGACCTGGTTTTGTCAGGCGGCATTCTTTTTCTCGGAAAGGGCGGGGGCCCATGGTTTTCTTTTAGCTGTTTACCAACGGTTTCGACGGCTCTAGTACCGGCAAAATTATTTGCGATAAATAATGGCGTCGTCTAGGGCTGGCGAACTTATTTTTGAGGATGTCTCGAGCGAAACGCTTACCTATCAGAATTTGTTGAGGATGCCTCGAGCGAAACGCTTGTTTTGTGTTATAGATTGTCCTCTGAGGGGGCCTGAATTCAGAGGATCTCTGAAGTGAAATGCTTGTTTTCACGTGCCCAGGTCTTTAGGATGTCTCGAGCGAGACGCTTGGTTTCACGCCTCCAGGTTGCCCAGATAGATGTCTAGCATTAGGATTTGTTGAGGATGTCTCGACTCGAACCAGAGGCTTGTTTTCACGTGTCCAGGTCGCCCAGGCGGACGTCTCGCATGAGGATGTGTCGAGGAAGTCTCGATCGAGACGCTTGTTTGCACGTGTCCAGGTTGCCCAGGTGGATGTCTAGCATGAGGATATGCTGAGAACGTCTTGAGCGAAACGTGTGTTTTCACGTGTCCAGGTCGCCCAGGCACAGCACAGCCCTCGGCACGATACATCAATATCGATACCCTCAGCATTGCAGCCTGGCGTGTTGCCTGGCACGTTCCGCGGAGCGTCCCGTGGCGAATCCCCCTGGCACGTCGCGCGGTGCACGTCCATTGGCACGTTCCGTAGCGCGTCCCCTCGGCACGTCCCGCGGTGCGTCCCCGTGGCACGTCCCCTGGCACGTCGCCTGGCGCGTCCCTTGGGACGTTCCGCGGCGCGTCCTCCCGGCAAGTCCCCCTGTCGATTAGTTCTGGGGCAGCTACCATCTGCTCAGGCAGCTCGAGTTTCAGATCCAGATCAGTTCGGTCAGGACTCAGATGCCAGGGAAGACTTGATCCACAACGCTATATATAGAGCACAATCGCGGCATGGCACATCGCAGTTTAGCACGGCCCAGCACAGCACAGCCGTCTGCACGTTGCATCAAGATCGATACACTCAACATTGCACTTTGGCACGTTCTTTGGCGCGTTCCGTGGCGAGTCCACCTGGCACGTCGCGCGGCGCGTCCCCTGGCACGTCCCGCGGCACGTCCATGGCACGTTCCGTAGCGCGTCCCCTTGGCACGTCCCCTGGCACGTCGCCTGGCGCGTCCCTTGGGACGTTCCGCGGCGCGTCCTCCTGGCATGTCCCCTCTATCGATTAGTTCTGGGGCAGCTACCATCTGCTCAGGCAGCTCGAGCTTAAGATCCAGATCAGTTCGGTCAGGACTCGGATGCCAGGGAGGACTCGATCCACAACGCTACATAGAGCACAATCGCGGCATGGCACATCGCAGTTCAGCACGGTGCAGCACAGCACAGCCTTCGGCACAGTACATCAAGATCGATACACTCAGCATTGCATTTGCCCGTCGCCCAATCAGGTGTCTTTGCAACGTTGACATGCCTTGCATTTCTATATTCCTTTCCAGGTTGTAGGTCGATCATATTTGTGCTGCACGTCGTGCGGCAGGGCTGGCAGGAGGGCAACCTGCTGAGTGGACGAAAGCAGAACTCAATGCATGGAGAGGGGGGACAAACCTCGGTATAGTGGCCAAAGGTTTACAGACGGGGTGTCTCTTGTGCAGAGCGGAAGGGATTCTTCAGCCTGATGGCCCATCAGGTAAAAGTCATCCCTCCGCCTCCTCCTCCTTCTCCCCCTCGCCTCCTCCTCCTCCTCCTCCTCCTCCTCCTCCATCTATCCTCGTCCCTTCCCCTTCCTCATCTTCATTCCCTCCCTTCCATGCCTGCTCCCATCCCCCTCCCTTCCTTCTCCTCCCCCTCCCCCTCATCCGTCTCCTTCTCTTCCTCTTCCTCCTCCTCCCTCCTCCATCCGCTTCTCCTCCTCCTCCTCCTCCTCCTCATCATCACCCTCCTCTTCCTCCTTCTGCAAGCGCCGGAGCGCGCGCTTGGAGAGGAGCGCGCTGGTCGTCGCCATTCGTCGTCGTCGTCGTCGTCGTCGTCGTCGTCGCCGTCGCCGTCGCCGTCGCCGTCGCCGTCGCCGTCGCCGTCGTCGCCGTCGCCGTCACCGTCGCCGTCGCCGTCGCCGTCGCCGTCGCCGTCGCCGTCGCCGTCGCCGTCGTCGCCGTCGTCGTCGTCGTCG